CAATCGGAGACACCGGGGCCAGGCTCCCCAGGGCCAGGGCAGGCTGGGGAGAGCGCGGTGGAGAGCCCTGGCCAGCCCCGCTCACGCCCAGCCTCCACGACGCCTTTCTTTTGTCTTCTCCAAAGTGGTTTTTGGGGTTCCTGTTGGAAGCCGAACCGACCTGGATCTAGGAGACACCACTGGCAGGAGCAGGGAGGAAGGGCTTTTAAATCAAGGCCAAGGGGGATGAGCTGCCCAAAACATGGGGGCTACAGGGGCTGCACCCACACCATCCTGACCTGGATGCGCAAACCTGACAAACATCCCGTCAGCCAAGTTTGGGAGCAGCTGTAGTCCCAAAGCCACCGGTGACCTAACCACTAGAGGGGGACAAACCCATACCCAGCAAAGCAAGGTTCCCCCCCTCCTCAACCAGCCCCAGCTCCCTGAGACCCCCCCAACCTGGCTACAGACCATCGCAATTAAAATGGAGGAAACCCTTAAAATAAAACAAGTTCCCCAAAGCAGCACTGGAGAACGGCGACTACTCCTACCCCTGATGCAGCCAAAGCATCTGCAGGCAACCTCAGCTTTTGTCTCTCCTGCCCCTGGAGAGCCCAGGAAGCCACTGGGCCACACCGACCAGACACTCTGGGTCCAGACTGTCACCACCTGAACCACCGATGACACCCCCGGCCCCGGCTCTCCATGGATCTCGCCGTCTGCATCACGCTGGGGACACCCGGCCCGGTGTGGAGGATGTGCAGGGTGGCTCCTCTGTCATGTTGCCAAGGTCAAGCACATCAGATGGCGCTCCAAGGTGACACCCAGTCAGACAGGATGGCAGAGAAGCCTTCGACCCTGTGTGCTCCTGGCTGCAGAGCTCCCATTTGGGCAGCAAGTATGGAAGCATCAGGCATCTCGTGAACGTCACGCCGCTGGCACTCACACGGGAAGGGGAACTTTGTACACAGCTCTGCGCTTCACACTGTGGATTAGTCTCATCTGATCCACAGGCAGGAGCGTGGCCAGTGCTGCCGTCCCACCAAGGAGGGGGACCTTTCCAGCACAGCTCACAAGCCACCCTGGCCTTTCTCATCCATCCCTGGTGGAAGCAGCCCCTGTTCCTCACCAAGTCCTCTCCGTGTCCCATTGCCCTGCAGCAAACAGGGGACTGCGCGCGCTTTCCCCACGGCCACGGAAAGGGAGTAGAGTGTCCCGAGACCACTCACTCCTCCCAAAGGTGCTTGGCAGCGCTTTTACATCCCCTGGGCTTCAGCAAGCTGACATGTTCGCTGTGTCTCTCAGACATGAGCACCTGGAGAAACAAACTGTCTTAGGAAAGCAGATTCCAGCTGGCAGATTTACTGGGGCAAGGGAAAGGAGAGCATGAGGCACAGGGAACGTTTCAGGCAGATATGACCCACAGGAGGACCAGACGAGGAGAGTAACGTGCGCTTACAGAGGAGTGAGATGTCTCTGATCATGGGGAGACCCAAAGCAGCACAGAGCCAGGTACGTGGGCAATGCCAGAGATGAAGGTCCTGGAGACAGGATCTGCACTTCTGGGAGAGGCTTTTCTTGATTCTACAATGCTTGGTGCTCCAACACCTCCACACAGGGCCCAAACATAACCCGTTTGTGCCAGTTAGGGAGGCCGCAGGGCTTGGTGACACTGCGGCAAATGAGTAGTTCCAACATGGGCTCAGCTCCCCACAAGTCAGCCAAGAGCAGGTCTGACAGCTCTACAGCCAGAGCCTCGTGAACCATCCCGTTCCTCCGAAGCCTAAATGATGGAAACCAGCAGACCGCAAGAGGGGTCAGAAGTGATGGACACAAGCACTCAAAAGACAACAGGACCTCTCAAAAGTTCACCTCTTTGCCAATGATTTTTCCAATGACCCCAATCCAGACCATGCACAGAGGCATCACCAAATGAAGATTTTTCATGAAGACATCAGTGCTACAAGGTGATGTGTCACAACCTCATTTCACAAAGGCAGATCTTCTCCTGAGGCAGTGCTAGAAACCTTTTTGATTTCTGTGGGACCTCCCATTTAAGCCAGTGGAGAGCAGCTCTTAGTCACTGGTTCAGACAGCAGCAACGTGCTGTCACCAGGAGCTTTCCAAGGGAGACAGCAAAGCTTAGAACGGCTAAGGAGAGGCAGAGGTGCCAACATGCTCTTCCCATTCAAGATGCCTGATGCAGCCTTATCTAGGATAGGTTTACAAAGTCTCAGCAGACGGACAATCCCTCCTGCTATGGAGCTGGAAGCATATCTTTGTCACATCCAAAGCGTCATGTCCCACCACGTGACAGCTCCAGGCTCCATTCATGACAGTACACAGAAGCTTATTTCTCCACATGACCCAACATACAGGCATCCTGAAGTCACGATCGCCACGCAACAGGCTGTGGGGAAAGGCAGCGTTTTCCTGGTCTGTGCCTGGGGACACTAGTTAGCAGAAGGTGGCAGGAAGCACGGTGGGACATTTGATCCGACAGGCAGATCGAGGTGCCAGGTCACTACCTGCATATCCAGGCTCTATGAGGAGAAAACGCCACGTTCTGATCCTGGGGAGCAGAGAGACCAAACGAACACGCAGGCCGCAGCCACAAAAGCCTTCTGCAATGCAACGTTTGCTTAGCTCGAAGTCAGCTACAAGAGACCAAACGAACACGCAGGCCGCAGCCACGAAAGCCTTCCGCAATGCAATGTTTGCTTAGCTCGAAGTCAGCTACGTAGTGACAGCAGCTAAGTTGGCGAGTGCTGAAAACCCCTAGGTTCTGTGCTTGTCTAGAATGGGTTTTTCCCAACAGTCCTGCTGGCCAGATCCCAGGTCCATTAATGACCTCACTTGGTGTCGTAAGGGTAAGAATACCTGCTGGAGACTGACGGTCCCAGAGTCAGGCTAAGATGCTGTGGAGGATGTACTACTTTTTCTTTAGCTTAAGTCACTGAAAATGGATTAGGCTGTAGTTCTCTACTAGCACATAAACAGAGGATGAACAGAAGGGATCCGGGTCTGTGCTGCAGGATGAGGGATCCCGCACGGATCATGCCTCAGAGCTGGGAGGGACGGCAGGAGCACCAGAACAAGACCAGAGGAGGGAAGGGCTGTGCTTACACACAGCCAGGACTGTGTTCTGGGAAGTCAGCTACAGTTGTGCAAGAACACAAAAGCTGTTAAAGGAGAGAGTTACACTGAAGCCTACATAGGGAACATGACTGAAGTAGGATCTGTATCCCACATCACGAGTTACAGATGCATGGATAGCCACTTCCCGCCTCTAGCTTGGTAACAACTTGTCCTGCCTAAAAAAAAAAACAAACCAAAGTAACATGCTCTCCATACAAGCTGTTGATATTGAAAATTAGACCTTCACTCATCAAGCTTTTCAGTGAGCAGACCAGTTAAAAGGTTTAGCAAGGAATGTCTTATCCCTTTTCAGGATTTATAAGCCTACTTACACTTGCCAGTTCCACCACCCCTAAGGAAAATCTAAGTTTTGAAAGTAGAGGTTTGCTGTAGTTTGACAAACTTGTCCTGTCTTCTCCAGCCACTGCAGTCTGATGGCTACAGATCTTCATGCCTTGAGGAGGCCCTGTAGCACAGGCTTTACTTGGGAGGCTGATGGTCCTGAGGGACAGAGTCCTGCAGCTCAGGATACCTCTGAACCTCAGAGAACAGCCAGCTTTAAGGAGCAAGTCCTTCAGGGAAGCTGCTGGCTCTGACCAGACTGCGGGGACTTTCACCCACAGATTCATCTGTGAGGTACAACTGGACACAGGGGCTGGTGGGTCACGTCAAAGCCACAGATCCATTAGCTCCAGAACATAACAAATCCTTTGAACAGGTCTCACAACCCAGCTGAACACCGATGACATTGAATGCTCTGCCTTCAAAACACCCAACGCAGGACACTGATGTCCCCTTCTCAGTCCAAGGGTGAAACGCTACGCTCGCAGCTCGGTGTGAGTTTCTCCAGAGCATCATATGGTCCGCAGTGGCTCAGAATCACACGCACTGCGAACCTTTAGGCCACGGCACACACAGCGCACTTGAAAAAGCCACAGGAAACCAGAATTGCACCTATTCCCACTCCCACAGCCAAGCACCACCAGAGATTGGCCTACAAATGACAGCCCACTCTGCAAACCCAGAGCTGCACCCTCTGCTCCAAATGCAGGAGAGCACCGAATTTACCAAATGACCCACAAGAAAAGAAAAAATAATCAGGAGACAGCACTTGGAAAAGAAACATGATGGCAAATACCAGGATACACCCATGGCTGTGTCTGGACGTCTGCTTCGGTACAGACAAGCAGCTGAACAGATCACGATCAGCAAGGAAGGGAGCAGAAGAGAATTGTGGTTTTAGGGACTAAAACGGACTTCTGGGGAATAGAGCAAGGCTGACACTCTTCAGTGTTAAAACACCAAAGCTCACGGAGTCAGCACAACAAGTCTGGCAGACACAGCTCAGGGTGTAAAGCAGTGCAGGGAGGGGAAGGAAAAGTCTTTTATAACCTAAGGTCACATCCTGTGCAAACAGCCCAAAGAAACAAGGCCAAATCCACCTGGGGCAAGGAAAAGGCTCCAACTGTCACGGTGTCCAGCAGCCCAAGGAGTCCACAGCCAGAACGGGAAACGAACTGCACCGCAAACAAGCGCTCTTGCGCCGATAACCGTAAAGGACCCAGACAGGGCCCAGAGGGTCCCCAGAGGAGTCTCAGCCTGGGAGCAGTTACTGCTCCTGCTAGCCCCAACCCAAAATCCAAGCCAGGGCTTGTCCCTGAGCATCAGCTGGTGCAACATCAGCCTTGTGTAGAGAACAAAGAGGACACCAAGCCTGCAGACACATCACCCCCCTGCCCCTCAGGACAGGGGTACAGTCAGAGTCAAGTGCAGTTTCCCTGTAGGAAAATGCCTTTCCACCTCTAATGCTGCAAGAAAGCGGATGCACCCTGGCAGCCCCGAGGAACGGCAGCGCTTGCGGCTCCCTCACGCCTACGTACCTTGACGTCAGCGATGAGGGCGTCCTCATCCTCAATGCCGGTAGGAACACACTTCTTGTGCAGAGGGAGCGACTCCAGTTTGTCTACGAGGCAGCGCAGCCCCTCCAGCTCAAACTGCGTCAGGTGCACCTTCCTGCTCTTGCGTGGGCTGCCACCGTTGGGGTCCCAGGCCTGGCCGTTTTGGGAGCCCCGGCTGGAGTCGGAAGAGTCTATAGATGGGGTCTTCTTCAGACCCGGCAGGCTGCTCCGGCAGCTCTTGCCCAGTTCATCATAGTCCACATTGGCACCGTTGGCTATGGGGCTGGTGAGAATGGACCGTCTTGTGACTGGTCGCCTGGGTTCCTTCCCTGCTGCATCCTCCTCTTCTTCCTCCTCCTCCTCCTCTTCCATGTTTACTGAGTCTGAGGAGCTCAGCTCCATATCTGCCATGATGGAGAAAGAGTGAGAGAAGAGCACAGTGGCCAGACAATCACTTGCAGGAGCTGTTTGGTTTCTAGAGGATTCCCCCGCCAGTTACCACAGGTGCCGGAGCAACAGATACGCACGGGGACAAGGAGAGAAGAAACGATGGGGCACAGAGTGGCTAGAAAAGAACAGCTAAGACCCTTTCCCATTCCTGGCTCCTTTTGTGGGAGGATGAGGCACAGGACACGGGAAAATTGCTCAGAGAAGGAGACAGCAACACCCTAGACTGAATTTCATAGAATTGTTTGGGTTGGAAGGGACCTTTAAAAATCATCTAGTCCAACCCCCTGCCATGGGCAGGGGCATCTTTCACTACTTTAGGTTGCTCAAAGCCCTGTCCAACCTGACTTTGCTTTGGAGGACTTGGGATCTCCAGCCATCTGGTCCTGGGACCTTGATCCTGCCTTCACGATGGGAGAAAGAGGACATGGACTTACTAGATGACCGCAAGGTCTCTGAGCCTGATTGTGCATGGCAAAGCACCCTTCCCTGATGGTAAAAGGGAAGGGGCTTCTCCTGCTCCCTTCCTTTTAGCTCTCTGTGCTAGTTCTCAGTGCTACCGAAAAGGCGATGGAAGCACTGGAGGCCCCCAGGCATGACGACAACAGTGACAGCCTTTCCTAAACCAAGTGCTGAGGAAGATCTCAAGGGGGGTACAGGAAGAGGACAAGAGTCGGGAGCCATGTCCCTCTGCTAGGGCCCCTTGGACAGAAATCGAAGTCCCGAAGAGGCTGTGGCTGCGAGGAGAAGCGCCCAGGAGTCAGCATTTACAGCCTCTTAGGAGAGAGCAGAGAGATTTACTTCAAGGGCCTTGGGTGGAGGCTATCTGCTGCTCTCCCACTCTGAGGAAGGGTCTCGGTAAGAAATCAGGCCCCACATGCCTTGGCTGTGAGGAGGCCAAACATTCCTTTTGCAAAAGACTCCCTGCACTCCCTTGCACATAACCCTTGACGGAACTTTAAAACTCTGCGTGCAGGAAGGCCCTGATCAGCAAGAAAACATTACTGCCCCGCAGCCCACAGCACAGCGGTGGTTACTGCAACTTCCCTCCGCCTCTTCTGTCAAAGACTTTGTGTGCACCAGCAAGGCCAGGAACTCGTACGCTGGTTTTGCAGCTGCAAGGAACCTGGCCTGTCGCACAGGCAAAGGAGGAAGCAAAAGTCTGGCTAGTTTTGACTTCTTGCTCAAAGGAAAAGAAATAAATTGCACCTCCTTCAGCTAGTCTGCAATGCCCTCTGCTCAGTACAGCAAACTGTGAAAAGAGAGGAAATACCCAAAGAAACCACCTTGTGAAATTGAGGAAGCGATGGTCCCAAATTCTTCCCACACAGCCCTGCCCTGCCCGCCGCACTGCTGAGCCAGACTGTACCCCAGCAGGAGGGTGCAAGAAACCGCTTCGAGGCGGGTGAGGAAGGAACAAGGGCTGGACAGCCCATGCAGGGGGCTTACCCATGCTGAGCGATTCCTTCTGGAAGTCCTTGGTCAGATGTGAACGGCTGGTGATGCAGTAGACGTAGCGCTCCAGCACGTACCAACACATCTCGTAATAGAAGGGATAACGAAACTTATTTGGGACCTGCAAAAGAGGGAAGGGGATCTGCTCAGGCCTCCTTCACCACAGGGCTGCACAGAGATAACTTAACACTGCTGCCTCAAACCAGAGCGATCGCCTTCTGAGAGACAGGAAACCTATGTACATGTTTAACAGCTTCATTCATGCTTCTGGCAGCCTGATGTAATTCTCCTTGCAGAAGAATATTATCACCAGGCAGAGCAGAGACCAGGCACTACTCACTTTCCATTTTTCTTTGTTAGGGCTGCAGCTCTTCCCCACCAGATCTCCTTCTCATTAGTACAAGGAAAAAAGTGGCAGATGCCACAAAAAATTTCAGTTGAAGGGAACGGTTCAAGCCCTCTTCCCAAGCCCCAGCACAACATCTGACAGTATTTGTATGTGCAGAGGGAAAGGGTTAGTCTATTAAGACAGATGTTACCAGCTCAGCTATTCAGCAGAGTGCTGCTGGGGCTCTGTCACATCAGCACCAGCAATTCACATGCAGGCAGAAGATGCCCCTGACCCTGCTGCCTGCCTCACACCTTCCTGAGGTGACACTGCCTGGGGTGGAGCAGCACACACTCCGTTGTCCTGTGTCTCAGCTGCTCTGGATGATGGCATGACATGGGAGTGCTAACCTACAGGTCTGCTTTGGAGAGGCCAGGCGTGTCCTGAGGCTTCTCTGGAGGAGCTGAGCACTGCAGGACCCACATCTCCACAAGAGGCAAGCAAGAAGACCCACTTGCCAACAGCGTTCTCTGCTCTAGACCTTAGGAAGCCTTTAGTTTCAGTCATCTTAGACCACCTCAAGGTCTAAGATCAACACCAAGCAGGAGCAGAAGGCAGCCAGGTAAGGGAAGAGGCAACACGGTGGATGCACTCCCACAGACATGTTGCTGCCTTCCTCTTCAGGCAACCAGGGGAGGTCTCCATCACACTCACAGCAAGGTTTCCAGATCCCCTGGAAGCCTGGTGTCAGACTGGAGGCAGTACAAAGGAACATAACAAGCCTTAGTGCCCACTGCAGGCCATCCCTCTGCCCAAGTTCGTGCCTGAACATTTAGCAGGCTAGGACATCTCACAGACAACTGGAGCTTGAACAATCTGCTCACAGGATGAGACTCAACCACCACTCCTGGCTGCAACCTCCCCACCACCCCAGGAGGCCATGTACTCCCAGCTCTCCCGCAGGTCCTTACCCGGGTGCGGTCTTCGATGCTGTAGATCCGGAGCTGCATAGGGATGTTGAAACTGTGTAAGAAGTTGCCTCCAAAAACCAGCGTGTCCATGGGAGTGTACACAGCATGGATCCAACCTTGGAGAGAAAGAGTTTGAAGAATCCCTCTGAGCAACTAGGTGAGGTCAAGGTGTCACAATTGACAGCCCAGTCCCTACTAATTCAATTCCTTTACAATCTCTTAGAAACTGTGCTCTTCAGAGCAGGGCTGCTAGATCTGCACAACCTTCACGCTGCTCAGCTAAGTTCACCCTGACATTTGCACCCTTCACCTGCATCCAGGTTAGCGGCAAACACAGCCTAGCTACTGACCCCTTGTCACATCAGCCAGCCCTAGTAGCAGCGGGGGGCTACAATGGGACCAGCTCTTTGAGGAGGACAGACATTGCTGCATTACAGTAACAATATCCACCCCTTCTGAGGCATCACTACTGAATGACTCAATACTCACTTGACTCATCTAAGAACTAGAGACAGACTTGTACTTGGGGACTCAAATGCACCTGCGAATCTGGCCTCGCATCCTCCTGTGGTGGCACATGTGCCTGTGTCCACCTCCTGTCCATAGCTCTTTGTCATCCTGGTGTCTCTGCAAAGTTGCTTTCTAGTTGTGCTAGGCCTAAGAACACCAGCAACAAGGAAAACAGTCTTCCAAAGTCTGTCTGAACAATTAAAAAAAACCCCTCAAAGTAACTCAACTCCCAGCTCTGTTATCTCCAAAGCTAAGCAATCCAGCCAAGCCCAACATTTTGGGAATTCCAGCATGGGTTTCCTTAGGGCAAGGCAACTCAATTCAAAAGAAGCGTCAGTTGTGATAACAGGACTCAAATGAGTAACTTGTGCAATCCCTGGTGTTTTCACTTCCTGGTCCTGCTGTAAACTACAACACAGCTTATTCCTGCACTGCTGCTGGAGATGAAACAGCAGGTTACAGTAGCCTTTGACATCTGAGACAGTCTTATGGACACAACTCTTATGCAACAGTTTTATTAGAAGCCTTCAAAAGGATGCAACAATCTTTCTCCTTGCAAGGGAATATTCCCTAGTGCAAGCACAACATTTTACAGACGTCCCAGGTCTCTATCGCAGGTTCCAAAAGGCTGTGAGCCAGTCCTTGCAAACAACCAAGTTAAGCTGCTTTTCACCTGCCTCCTCTCTTCTGCCTTCACTGTTTTCTGGCACAGCACCGTACTAACTGTGCATGCGAGACATTGCTGACGCCCTCCAATTATTCTGCTTGCTAAACCAAGTCAGGCTAAAGATTTCTCTTAACTTTTGAGAGTGTTCCCACTCTCAACCTCAAAGTCTCCTTGCCCAAGCCCTCTGCAAAGCAGTTACCTGTCAGTCCCTCCATGTTACTGCTTCCCAGCTCCCTATTGGGTTTCAGAGTTTTCCAACACTTGCTTCTAGCTGTATACCTTCCAGTTATATCTCCAGTACATGCAGACTTCAATTGTCTTTCCTCATGTCCAGAGCAGTCACCTTGTTCCTTAAACTCACACACCGGCTCCCTTCCTCGCTTCGCAATTTGAACATAACTCTGCAGAGATTTCACGAGCGACCCTGGCAGCTGAGGAGCTGTGCTGCCTTGGGCCAGCCTCTGTCCTCAACGTGCACCGCTCCTCATGTCAACATGACCAGCTCTGGGAAAACCTCCTTTAATAATTGATCAAGCTTGATGTAAGCCAGTCACAGCTTTCCTGTCGCTTGGGCTGAATCCACAGTGCCACGACAGCCATGTTTTGGGAGCTGGCAAACAAGAGGACGGAGTCACATCGCACCTCCCTCTCCCAGTTAACTCATGAGGGAGGAAGCTAAATCCTGCCTGTTCCGATTTTCCTCGTGTTCCAGGAGTTTCAGCCTCTTGCCACAACCCTGGCAAAGACCAGGATGCACCTGCCCACCCTGCAGTACCTGAGGGGATGACAAATGTGTAGCCCTGCTTGAGCTCGATGCGTTGGCACTCTGACACTCTGTCTCCAAGAAAAATGTCTCCCTGCTTCCCTGAGAGAAGCCAGTTTTCATAGAGCTCCAGGTTCTGGGGAGTAGGAGGGATCAGCCAGAAGATCTGCAGATAAAGACAACACATGTACGTAAGTCATTGCGTAATTAAACAGCTACTGACTACCCCCTGCTTCTTCCAAACCTGCCCTGTGCCCTCTCCAGACATCTAAATCTCTTCTTCTCCCCATCCACAGAGGATGCAAGCCTGCAGAAATTCCCAGTAAAGTGACCTAAACAGCTTTCCTGTTTGAGAGGGCAAGTTGCTGAACAAGGTCCTTCCTGACCTGATGCATGGAGCACCGCAGGTAGACTGAGCTTGGGACGCTCTGTAAGGCATTATTTACAACATGAGTGTCAAGAGATGCAAAGCCCACCGAAGACACCAGAGTATTAGAGACAAAGGAGATATTTACCTGCGTATTTCTGCCATGTTAGTAAGAGATACAATTGAACTAGAGATTTACACCTGTCTGGCTCCATGCAACACAGGTGGCAAGCATATATCCATCCCCAGCCTGGCTCTTCAGAGACGTTTAACCTGTCCTTTGGGGGAGCCACAAACCATTGGAATCGCTGGGGAAGTCTGGCAGCTACATCTCCTTTGCAAGGAAAGGTGGATTCTTCAGGTGGGGCAGAGTTTGCTGCCTTCCCTGAAACTAGTCTAAGTCAGTGGAGAAAGACAGGATGGAATAGTTGCCCAGGACTTATCCTAAAGAAGAGGTGTTTTTCCTAGCGATCCGCCTTTACTGACTGTGCAGGAAGCCCATCCAGCTGCCTTCAGCTGGACAGTTCCCTCGCAGCAGCTCCAAGCGAAGGGCTCCCTATCCTGACGCTGTCCAGGGCTCTTTCTCAGGGGATGCCCAGCCACCACAGACAGCCTTTCTTACCTCCTGGCTCCTTGATGAATTCAGCCCTAGATGGCTGATGGTTTTTATCAGAAGCAGTGAGGTCTAACTGCCCACAGGGGTTAAGTTCGGAGCTAGGTGCATTTCACCGGGCAGGAGGTGGGACCTGTCTTTGGTAAATTCTGCACTGCAGGATACCTTCCTCCACATCAGCTCTTCCTAATACTACTAAACCGAGCTACCACCAGCTTTTACTGCTCCAACTGCATTGATTCAAATGTACCATGATGAGCGTCTGCGTTGCCACCCTCCCTGGACAGCAGTGCAAAGTTTCCTTGACTACAGTAGAGCTGACAACTGCAGCTAGCAAAAACTTGAATGCAAGCTCTTCCATGCTGTAATAGTGGTAATGCTAAAGCATGGACTGAATCACACGACGGCAGCCACACACACCCAACGACAGTCAGAGGGGAGGTTTTCCCAGCAAGGACTTCATACTGACTAGGTGCCACGCTCTGAACATGACTCTGCTCTCTACAGCAGCAGAAGTGCTAGCTAGGGTGTCTGACTTAATTGTTCAAGTACTAGCTGGCTCCTTCAGTGATACAGCACCCAGGCTGCCACAAATCTGTTTTCTGAAAGCTAAGACAACAAATACAACATCCTCACCTGTAAGGTGTAACCAAACTCGATGGAGCCTGGGGCTCAGTTTTCCTGGGCTCGGCTACAGAAAGTGACTCCAGACAAGCAGCTCAAATCTGACACTGTTTCAGAGCTACTTCTCACCAGAAACCACCCAAGGGGTTTTGTAGTGAAGACCTGTCACTAACCTTCAGTTCAAAGAGACCAAAAGCCACTTTCCTAAAGCACCTGTAACTTGTCCCAACAGGGACTGCTCTCCTACCTTTCCCCCTCGGTGGATGTGGTACCACACAGAAGTACCACCAAAGTCCACGTGGAAATCTGTGTAGCAGCCCTTGACACTCATCAGACAGTACCTGGTGGAAAACAAGATGACGGTAAGGTGAAAATGAGCGGTGATCCACATTTTAGAGCAGATACAACATATTCAAAGGGAGTGGGCTGCCCAAACCCAGGCCAATGGCTCAGAGCAGTGCCAGAAGCCAATTACTGCAGCTCTAAGCACTTTAGCTGCAGGGAGGTGGTGGTTTGCAGGAGAGCTCACTTTGGATTTATGTCACATCGCCACAAAAAAGACATAGCCCAGCCAAGAGGAGAGCTTTTCTACTTACCCAGCAGCTCTAGAAATCCCCATGTCACAAGTCTGGCTTACAGGGCAGGATGGAGAGCGCCTAGCAGCTCAACTGACTTTAGACGTCTCGAGGTGGTGAACACCAAGAGTTTCCCCAAAGCACAGTGAGCTCCTAGGAGCCACGCAACTACCCTTCCACGCAGCGTTTGGCAGGGGTTTAAATAACTAACTGCAATGTCCTTGCAGGTGTCAACCACTGAAAAAGCGGACTGTTACTCCCACTTCCCCTCGGTACAAACTGCTTCTCCCTCGGGCAGTTTTCTTCCAAGCGATGCTTTGCTGCCTGCCGCCACTGGAACAGCTCAGGAAGTCACTTACTTCTGCACCTTTGGATACTGCATCTCCAGGATAGCATTCGTAGATTCTGTCTGACTCTCCTTCAGGTGTCTGGGCCACATGTTATCAACCCAGTCAATCAAATCCACCTACAGCAGAAAGGTGGGAGACGTGAGTAGAGATGAAAGAGGCACAGTAACCTCTTTTGCTACCCTCAGGCTGTTCTGGAAGCTAAAACACCTATTGCCTGCCTGGTAAGCCCACTGCTCACACACGGCTGGGCACTCGTGAGATGCAGGTTGCACTTGGCCCACCAGAGACACTGCGGTGCTGCACACAGACTGCCAGCCCAGCTCGGAACACACCCACAACAAACGATAGAACCGAGGGAGGGAGGGAAGGAAGCTGTGGTGTTAGCTCATTTGCCATGATGTCCCCTTTTTGGTGTCCCCCCCACATGCCAGCATCCTTCCCGATGCCACTGGTGCAATCCCAACATGTCAAAGCACTCTAGGACCACAGTGAGATCTCAAGCATGGTATCAGGGTGCTGGTCTTCTACTTAGAGGCTAGACAGAAACTACTATGCATTGGCCTTACATAAAAACATGCTGGGCAGCATCTGCTAGGGTGGGATTCAACTTGCTAAGCTTCAGGACAGCCAGAACAGGTAGAGATGTCCAGGCTCCCTCTACAGTTAACAGAGAGAAGTGAATGGCCCTACAGAACTGCCCCTTCCTCTCCATCAACTGCAGAGGGAGTTCAGGATGTCCATCCCATCTTCCACACTTCAGTAAGGGTGACCAGTTTTCCTCCTGCCCCCCTTCCAGCACACCTCCAGTCTTGGCCTCCTCTGCCCTCGAAGATTTCAGCAATTTGCAGCTCCCTGTCATGCTGCACAACCCTTTGGAGTCCCAGCTGAACACAGGGGCTGCTGTCCTAACGGGACTATGGTTTCCAAACACCAAGGAAACCACAAAGCTCAACCAGCATCCAGGCTTTAGCTAATCTTTCAAAATCCAGCAAGCACTGCTGAGCTCTGCTGTCCAATTTAGGCCCTGCTGGAGTTTTACATCTGGCCATGCACTATGGCAAGCCACCTCTGCTCTGCACCTTTCTTTAGCCACTACAGAGCTGATCACTGCCATGGGATGCAGGAGAGGGCTCTGCACCAAGCATCAGAGCAGCACAGTGCACAGCACTGAGGGAAGGTAGGCCCAAGACTGAATGACAGCCAAAGTCTTGGCAGACAGTGAAATCCAGCTAACTAGGAGAGGCTGGAAGCCAGTGTCCCCATCCTGTCCCCAACACTCACGTGGCTGAGCGTAAATCTGACCTCTCTATTCAAACTCAGGTGCTTGTTCAAACTCTGTGCCTGTTCTTGATCACCAGCCAGCAGGAGCAGATTAATTCACTCTATTCCTCAGCCAGTCACTTCCATTTCTCTAATTGCTGACAGCCAGTGAACAAGTCAGCCCTCTGCAGAATGACACGCCAGGGACTTGACCATGGTCACTATAGCTGAGGGATGCAGAGGCTGGGCAGCCCCAGCCTGACTGTGAGATCAGCTGTAGCAGATGAGGTCCGAGTCAGACACAGGATGAGCTCCAGCAGCTTCCAGAGAACAGCAGTGATGTCCCTGGCTGAGCCTATGCATGTTACGAGCAGCCCCTCTCCTCCCACATTCAAGTTCCAGGCTGTACCTTGCCTACAGAGGACCACAGGCACAAAGGAAAGGACATTCCTGCGGAAGAACCACCATGCTCACCGTAGCGGGTCTCTGCACCAGGTTCTCCAGTTTGGTGTGACTGAACTCCAGGCTGATGACATTGTAAAGTTTCTCCCGCTCAGCCTCCGGTGTTTCATAGTAGCGTGCCCACTGTGCCATGGACATCTCGATATCCCTCTGCGTGTTCACATCCATGACATCCACCATCCGTCGGCTCCCTGCCAGAACAGACAGACGTCACTGAAATTGTCCCTGTGCACAATGGACCACCCAGAAGACACACTCCAGGAGACATGAAATCCTTCCTCAAAAAACCCACCCATGTAAGCGTGATGTCTTGGCCTCTCCCATAACTTCATCTTCTTCCGTACCCACATTGAAACAGAAGCTGCTTCAGGTCAAACTGGACACCTCAAGCAGGTAAGAGTTGTGACCCACTGGCTAAGGACAGCTCAGGTTCCACCAGCTGCACACCGGGGGAGTCACAAAACCAGACCTCTAGCTCTGATAAACCCGATGGCTCTCCCCATCCCTCCCTACCAGCCCAGGGCAGAACAGTGGTGCACTGTGGTCCCTGGACACTTACCGACACACAGCCGCACATCATTCACGCTGAAGTCCGGATCTGGCATCCTGCAGGAGAAACACCTTGCTAAAAAAAATCACGAAGTGCTTCTGTTTGCAGACCCTTCCCACCTGTAACCCCAGCACTGGCACCCTGAAAATTCTATTGTGCTTCTTTTTGCCTCCTGGGTGCAGGTGAAGACCATGCAACTAGATCTCTGGGGGCACAGGTCTGGGCTGAGTGCTGGAGTAAAACACTGGGCCCAGCTGCTGGCAAGGGAAGCAGATTTGGGAATAAGATATACCATCTCTAGAGCATGAGCTGTCGTACAGCGGCTTCTGGCAAACGAGCAAGCAATCCTAGCTCTCATTTTAAAGACTGCTCCTATGAATTATCCTAAAATAAAGGACATAGCCAGACCAGTACAAGCAGTATATTTCACTGACACAGCATAATTACTCTAACTGTTTGTACTGGCATACTTATCTGTACAAACACTGCTGTCACAGGCAGAACGGGCAGGCAGCCATTCAAGCAGCTCTTGACCCAGAGAAATAACCAAAAGCTCAGGAGAAATCCAGTTTCACCCACACTGTAACTCTCAGTATCAAATCTGTGCCCTCCCAAACCACCCAGCAGTTAAAACTGAGCCCAGCACAAGTTCCTATTTAATTCACCACAGTACAGTACATCGTGCCCTGGATGAGGTGTTGCCCATCCGTTCACAGCCAGGTGAGGAAGTTAAGAGCAGTGTTGCTGATATTGGCTCTGACAAAGTTTACTGGGGCTAATTTATTCCTCTAACTTTCCTACTAATCAAAACCAAAAAAAAAAGCCCAACCCAACAGAAACACTGGATCAGATCAGCTTTTTTTTTAATTTTGTAAAAGACAGCTGTAACGTTTTGACGTAGTATTACTTGCCTTAAAACTACATCTACCACCCCATAGTGTGGGGTTATATGAACGTCACAAACCAGCATAAAGTCTTGCATCAGTACAGCTTTACACTCAAAGAGTGTAAAGTGTAAACTTTACACTGTAGCAAGAGAGAGGGATGGCAGGTTAGAAGTAACTGTGTTGGGCAAATCAGGTTGGAATTCTGGAAAATGCCAGAAATACTACAAATTGCTTGACTCTCTGGCAATAGATGCCTATATTAGTAGGAAAGAAACTCAGCCAGATGTTGCATCAGAGCAGCAGCGGGACTTTCCAGACATTTGGTTGGACCGGGATCACCTACAGCCAATTCAGTCCTCTCATTTTAAGTCCAAGCAGACTAGTAAGAACAGGATAACTGAGGCGGAAGATATTTCTCTCCTCACTGCACGAGAAGTACAGCGTGGATAGGACACAGTCATACCAACTTGGCAGAGCGTGGATCCAGCTACCAGGATCAGAACCCACACAACGTGGGGAGGCAAGAAATCGGGCCAGAGTCATCTATCGCTCTGTGCCCCTGGCACTTACTTTATCCCCAGGCCATCAGAGCTCCTGAAGATGAGAGGGTCTCTCAGGCCGCCCCGCTGGATGTATTCAACTGTGAAGTCTGGTGCGGGGAGAAAAGAAGACAGAAGGTGTTAGGAGAGATTCCTTCAGAGGACTATAGACAAACTGAGGTTAGAAAGGATCTCTGGAGATGTCTGGTTCAACCCTGCTCCTGGCAAACCAACTTCAGACTCAGATCAGGTTGTTCAGGGCCCGAGAACCTCCTTACATCTCTGTGGCAAGGCTAGCCAGCAAAAGAAAGCCCTGTTCCTTGCTATTTCTACACCCCTTTGGAAATTTTTGGAACTCCTTTGCGTCAGTTCTGCGAGCAGCATGGTGCGTGTTGCTGACAAGCCTCGGACAGGCCCCCCAGGGAGGCAGGAGTTTGCTCCAACAGGCTGCACCAGGCAGGGGAACAGCACAGATTTTTGGTCCTCACTTCCCTAAGAAGCTCACAGCCAAGCAAGAGAGGCCTTGAAGAAACGCTCCTCCCTCACGGCAAATCCTCATGAGGTTTGCACTGGCTGTGTGGTGAAAAGACATCCCACTGAGTTGTATGTGTGGTGAAAGAAAAGGGAGAGATCCCACACAGTCTTTGAATTAAGCATCTAGTAGACATGTGGCTGCAATTACAGGTGCTGACCCAGGCGAACCCTCTCGCTCCTGGCTGCCATGTGTCCCAGCAAGTCTGCGGTACTGCAGACTGGCTCATCACTTTCCAGACTGAGCAGCTTCCATGCCATTTCCCCACTACACTCCCTGTTACAAGTCCTTGGGGCAGGGGAGCTTAGCAGGCTTGAGCCGATCCTCTACTGATATGCCCCACGTTGCCTTCAAGCTGCTTGCTGACTGCCGCAGGATTCGCACGGGAGCGGGTAGAAACGTCCCCCGCCTGCTCTGCATCGCTTGGGTTAAACCGCTAAACTTGCGTACAGCGGAGGAAAGCACAGAACTGGCGTGAACAGCAGACAGTTTTCCCAACTTTACAGGAAGATGTAAAGTAAAAGGCAGCAAAATGCAGGACAGTGGGAAAGGATTTCATTAACACCACAATTGCCTTGTAACCGCTCTTCAAGTTGGCAGTCGGGGAGGCTTTGGGTGTAGTCAGATGCACAAGAGCACATCCAACTGCGATCACTATTAGCTTTCTACGAAAGGCTCAGGGAAAGGCCATCTCACACATCATGTCTCACTGGAGAAGCGGTCAACCACAGCAGCTGTCTGGTTACCGACAGCAGTAGCACACACCGCAGCACAGCAGCCCCAACACAAACCTTTGCCTTCCATGAAGACCACGAAGGTGGAGTTAAACTTGTTAGTGGACAGCTTTTCCTCAAGGTCAAATGTCCTCTTCCCTTCAATTTCATCATCGGAGATGCCATCATCCTCATAACGCCGCCTCATCGTGCCACGCTGAGGAAAGAACAGACAAGGAAGGTAAGAGTTATGGACCAGGAAGAAGAACCAGCTCCCCTCCCAGAGCCTCATCTCAACCTAGCAGAGCTCAGCCAGGGCTTTTGGGGGAGCCCTTGTCCTGCAGCAGGTCGTCCCTAGGAAGCCTACGCACTTCTACTCCCAGAGAAGAGAGACCCTATATTACTGAGTTATATTGTCCACTAGGTCTCTTGCTCTGTTGGTATCAGTTTTCAAGAGAGACAAGCCAGAGAAGATCTATTTAGGCAATGTCTGTCCTGGATCCAAAACATATCACTGAAACATCATGTTTGCTCCTCCTACAACCAACAGATTTGTGCAAGTTGGGCTGTATGGGAGACAATTCACTCCTAATGAGTGCTAACACAGAAACACAGGAGGAGGGGAGATGGTTCAGTATAACTGGGTCAAAGGAAAAAGAACCCATTTCCCATTTTTACAGGTGCATCATTATTTCCTGCACTGGAGGTAAAGGCACTTGTGAATTTAAATCCCCACCAGAACACCAGCTGATAAAGGAAGGGTTTTATGCTGAAGACATTTCTCAAGTTTTCATCTTTGGCTATGCTTGTACACAAAAGTTGGTTAATTCCCTTGTTTGTGTGCGTGGGGGGGGAAGTAACCCTTTCCTTAGAGGACCTCAAAAGTACATCTGTACTGGGATTCCTGACAGATATCCTCCTGTAGCATTGCTGGATCTGGAAGAAATTACTGTCCCCAGCTGTTAGCCACCCTTCCAGAGGCCAGCAGTGCTCCAGCAGAGCTGTTCGTGGGAATGCTCCCTAAATCCCCTCAGATAAAAGTCAACCTGGTCTGAATTAGCCAAGCTGACTTCCCCCAATTAGGGACGCTCCCATTATAAAGCCGTGACACCAACTGTTGTGCCAGCAGCCAGCCAGGGACAGGACGGGGCAG